GAAATAATAGCATCTGTAAATGAATGATACTTTGTGACACACTTATTTTTACCAGTGCTTGTTTCATCAACCAAATTCAAACTTCTGAATACATTCCTTTCAGGTACACCCGAAATCTTGTGGATCAAGGAAATGGAAAATTCAATCTGATGATTCTGTGTTGGGGTGAAGGACATGGCAGGTAATACAACTATTCACAGATTTTTATTAGAGTGTCTATTCCAGAATATGCAGTGTACAGTGCCAGGCTGGCCACAAGGCTTGAGAGAACTAACAAATCTCATTTTATAATTATTTGTCCCCTAATCCTAACAAAAAATCGCATGGGAATTAGCATGAAGGGTTTAGGCATACACCATGAATATCAAAACCAGCCCCCAAAATGAGTAATAAATCAAATAGGTGGTAACCAGTTTAACTTATTCTCTCTCCAAACTTTTAGGGGATTGTGCTAAAACTTGACTTTTGTATTTTGAAGTGTGTAAATAATGGTGGGACTAAAGACCTAAGTGTCCACATTTGGAGCTAGAAAAGCAATTCACGAATTGAGACAATTTCTTTTCACTTCAAGTTTATGGTTTTCTTTCTTTATATAGAGAGTAAGGCAACTTAAACTAATATCAATTCTTTGAAACTTGGTTCCTTAATTGTCCTTAGTTTAAACATTTGCCAGCATTATTACCAATTGAGTATTAGTATCTCTTTAAACAGATCCTTCTCAGTCTTTTGAGAATGGCGAGACAATAATCCAGACCCATTTTTGATGGGAGAAAGGAAACAGGAGTTCATAAGGGCTTGGAAAATTAGGTTTATAGAATACATTTATATACTCATATAGAGTGGAGCAGTTTTCCCTTAGTCAATATTTTTTCAAAGCAGATTACATATAAAGAGTAGGACTAGGCTCTGTGAATTTAGGAAACAAATTCTTCCTATGGTACATATGTATATATTTTAATCAACCCTACAGCTAATCCTACTTAATAACTTAAATACTGTTTACTATAAGCTTATATGAATATATTATTTTCCCAAATCAAATTTACTTTCTTTCCCCCGCAAATATTGGGATGTAATCATAGGTAGGATACTCTAAATCTACAAAATGTTAACACTATATATATAGTATAGTATAATTTTAAGATGGTGGCAATAGATACATATACCTTTTGTCCCTCAAAGGAAGGATAAAAGAGAGAAAGCCTGGGAAAAATCATTAAATGTTAAGTGATCTTCTCAGTGTGATGCAATGATTATAGATGATTATTTTTGTCCTTCCTAAAAATTCTCCAGTGTAGTTTTATGATCAAGTTTTAGTGTAGCTTAACTGAGTTATTAAAAGCTGTATCTTGGAGAAGATAAAAGGTTGCTGGTTTTGTGTTTCTCATGAAAGTAGTATTATAACAGGGTTTTAAAAAATTAACTGTTCTTTATTAGGGGGTATTATGAAAACCTCTTATATACATTGATGTGGCAGACATTTTCTCTGTAGTGCACAATGTTGAATTATAAATTGATGACATTTCAAAATTCAGCTGAAATGGATTTTGTCCTGGGAGATGTCCTATTGACAGTGTGCAGCTTTCAGCTCTGGGCTGGCTGTTACTGCAGGTCTGGGTACTGGACCATCTGCTGAGTTCAGTTGTCCTTTTGTGTCTATATAGCAGTATCCATGACCACACCAACTCCCACTGCTTTCTGAAGATGCTGCAGGGAAATCTAAAGGAGACATTGTTTGCCTGGCCTGACAAAAAGTCCAACGAGATGATCAAGAAGTCTGAAAGGGTCTTGAGGGAAAACCAGTGTGCCTACATCAACGGTAACATCCAAACCTTTTCCTAAGGGCAAGTGGGAAAAACCTGTAAATCCCATCGGAAATATTGGTTACTTACACATGTGCAGTAGAACTTGGATCACGAAGTCACTAATTTCAAATGCTTGGAAAAGGACCTGAGAGCAGTGGGTTTTGCTTTTTAAAGTTTTGCATCTGGACTAGAGGCACTTATTGGAAACACATGCTTGTAGATTAGTGCCGACTGAAACGTCGTTTACATGCCAAATCTTAGGATAGTTAGAACTGAATATGAATTTATGTATGTAGAGTCTTCTAATGAAGGAGTGAGGCCAAGGTGGAAATAAATAAATAGAACATCAAATTGATGTTTCTCTCTTTCTCTCTCCCTCTCTTTCTCTGTCCTCTCCCCTTCCTCTGTCTCTCTAAAATCAATGAATAAAGAAACAAATTTTTAAAAAAGAAAATGTAAAGCAATGTTCTGGAAGTAGCTATGAATGCTAGCTAGTCCCTATTTTTCTAAAATGCATATACTTAAAAGCATATTCTCAAGGGAAACTTTACAAAGCACATTATTCAGCAGAGATTTATAGATCTCTCACTAAGAATTCATTCTTTCCCCTGAATGTGATATGGAAAGCCAAATGCTTTTTAGGGGAGGCAGTGATTAACATCTGTATTCTTAAAGGGGATAATAACTTCCCAGAAAGCTTGTTATGCTTATATGAGATCATTTATTCCCATTTACAGATGAAATTCCAACACATAGGGAGATTAAATAACTTGTCCACATTACTCAACTTTTAAATGGCAGCCAGTATTCAAACCTAAGCAATTTGATTCCAAGGGCCATACTCTTATTGGATGCTATTTCACTTACATATAATAAGATATTATAGAGATTTTTCTGGCAAAACAGGATCTTCTTTAAAGACAGATATTGGCCTTGGTACTGGCTTGAATTTGTTCATTAGTTTCAGAGTACACTTAGAAAGGTCAGATTACAAAGTTGTTCCCCGTTATCTGATCTGAGGGGTAAACGTTCTAAGACACCCCCCCACCTGAGTGTATATCTGAAACTGTAGTTAGTACTGAACCCTATATATACTATGTTTCTTTCCCATACCTGGGATTAAGTTTAATTTATAAATAAGGCACAGTAAGAGTAAAAGCAATGATTAATGATAAAGTAGAACAATTATAGCAATATACTGTAATAAAAGTTATGTAAATGTGGCCTCTCTGTAAATCTGATAACTAAGATAGCTACTAAGTGACTAAAGGGCAGGGAGCCTATACAGCAGGTTGGACAAAGGGATAATTCACATCTGGGTGGGATGGAGCGGGAGATTTTTATCACACTACTCAGAACAACATATAATTGCATGCATTGGGCGGTGTATGTATTTGCAATTGGAGAAACAAATAATTTGTGTAGGGGCAGTCAGTTCTTAGGAATATTGAACTTTTGTTCAAGATTGTGCTTAAGCCAGTATCTTATGAAAGAAGTAAGCTATAGAATTAAAGAGTTTACAGATCTGAGAATCAGGCCCATTTTTAGAAGTGAGCAAAACTGAGGGTTCTAGAAGTTGTGAGTTGTTTCAGGGTAGTCTAGCCGGGAGTAGAACCTAAGTCCTCTGCTTCCAGGCTTTGCTCTTTATCACGAAACCTCGTGGAGCTAGATCATAAAGCATAAGGCCAAATTGGGTGCCTACATTAGCTACACTAATTACACTAAATTCCTTCCTTTACTCATCCTCAAACCCTCTTCTAACTATAAATTTCTTCTCAGCGTAGTTTTTCAAAATCATGTATCTTGTCGTTATTTCTTAATATTAATCTTCTTTGAGACATCTCCTCCAGGGCCTTTAGACCAGCTTCAATCTGGATTGGTTGATCTCAAGGCCACGGCTCCACTGTCATCCTGGGGTCCCCTCACATCATCCGGGCTTTTCTTTGCTATCTTCTTTTGCTAATCCCCTTGCTTCCTGATCTCATTTCTGCCTCGTTCTTAGTCCAGGCCTTTGTTTTAGTGGAGCATATCCTCCAGTTGCTCTATGAGAAAGTGTTCCGGAAAGGAATTTTTTGAGACCTTATATATCTAAAATCTCTATATTCAACCCTTGCAATGTGATTGCTAATTTAGCTGGATATGGAATTCTGACCTGACAATCACATTCTCTCAGAACAATGGAGGTAATGCCGTATCGTTTAGTTTTTGGTCTTAAAAAAATTATTATTATTGATTTGAGAGTGAGAGAAACATTGATTTGTTGTTCCACTTATTTTTGCATTCATTGGTTGATTCTTGTCTGTACCCTGACCTGGGGATTGAACCTGCAACATTGGCATATCAGAACAGTGCTCTAACCAACTGAGATACCCAGCCAATGCTTTTAGTCTTCTTGTTGAAAATCTACTGTCATTCTGATTCTTGAATCTTTCTATGAAACCTATTTTTCCTTTCTAGGATCTTTTGAGATATCTTTTGTTATATTTTCTCTGTCTCCAATATTATAGTGACATATACCATGTTGAATGAATTTCATTCATTGTGCTGAGTACTCAGTGGGTTCTTTCAATCTGGAAATTCATGTCTCTCCCTCCATTCAAGCAAATATTGTATAGTTATTTCTTTGACTTATTTTTTTTTGCTCTGTTTATGAAATTCCCAGTGCTCAGATATTAAACCTCCTCTTGATTTTCTTTATCTTTCCTTCCTATTTTCTATCTTTGTTATTTTGTTCTTTGAGTCTTCCTCAGCTTCCTTAGTTTTTCTTCCAACCTTTCTATTCAGGTTTTTATTTCTAAAAGCTGTTTTTATTCTCTAGTCCTTTTATAGTATTTTGTCTTATCTCTCTAAGGATATTAATGATAAGTTTGTTTTTAAAGCCTTCTCTTGAATTATGTCTGTTTCCAGCTGCTCTTTTTAGGTTGCTCTGGCCTCTGTGTTTCATACTAGGGGACTTGCTCAAATGTCCGGTGACCTTGGCTGTGTGCTAATATTTAAAAACCAGGGACAAAAAATATCAGTTGGTAGCTCTAAACACTGGACTTCGTTCTAGGCTAATCTGGCAGAGCTTTTTTTCTTGATGAACAACCAATGGCAGTTGTTCTTTGTTCTTGAGCCAATCAGATTCCCTGAGAAACTGCTTCCCATCTCCTTCCTGGAGAAGAAAATTCCTATCTGGAAGCGTTCTGGCAGCTATGTGGTGAAGAAAGTGGGGCTCTTCTCATTCAATATGTAAATTTTCACTTTGGTCACCTCTTGTTCACCTGAGTTCATCTATTATATTCTTTCTAGAGACCAGATCTCAAACTTCTACCAGAAGGAAGGAGAGGGAGAAGTGGTAAAAGGGATGTAAGACTCTAAACTGAAATAGGCTTTTAACCAGTTCTTGTACTTAGCCCCATCTTCTTCCCCATTTTCAGAAATACCCATGCTGCCAATTCCTGAGCTGTTTGGGTGGGGAGGGGGAGTTTCACAATATAAATCACTTTATTTCTTGGCTATCTCCATGTATGAATGAATATTTAGCTTTCTTTCTCCTGCAAAGCTATTCATCTATAGTTAATGATGAACAACTCAGGTTTGAACTGAACGGGTCCATGTATACCCAGATTTTTTTTTCTCAATAAGTACCTGTAATGTTTTCAATTCGAGTTGGAGGTCCACGGATGTGGAGTGCTGACTGTATGCTTTGATGAATGCTATTTTATACAGGGGGGTGAGGGACTAGAGCATCCTCAGATTTTCATATCTACAGGGGGGTCTGGAACCAATTCCCCCATCGATACTTGGGGACAACTTAAGTTTTGAGAGAGTCAAAAGTTATATGTGGATTTTTGACTATACGGTATGGGAGTTGGCACCCCTAATGTCCATGTTGTTCAAGAGTCAACTGTACATTCAAGCTTTTTTAGTCTTTTACTGACATTGTAGGATGTTTTCAGGAAATAACAGAGTGCATGTGCCTTATTATTTTTAACCAGAAATTCCATTCCTAATGTACCCAATTGATTTATGATCTTAGGTGATTGACAAAAATTTTACCTACAGCAATCCTCTAAAACCCTTCATCTGTTCTTCTTGGTTGTTGTTTAGATTCCATTGGCTTACATCGAGTAGAAAATATTAGCCATACAGAACCTGCTGTGAGCCTTCATTTGTACAGCCCACCTTTTGATACATGCCAAACCTTTGATCAAAGAACAGGATATAAAAACAAAGTCACCATGACATTCCATAGCAAATTTGGAATCAGGACTCCATTTGTAAGTATAATTTCTCTCCTTGGTTTAGTGTTTTGTGGGTTGGTAACATTACACTGTATTCATAGCTTTTTTTGTTCTAGATATTACTTAAATATTTTAAGTATTCTCAAATTGAAGTTTAAATGAACCTTAACTTAGGGGAAAGGCTCCTTATATCCTAATTCATTAACTTTGGAGACTATATTTTCAATTTATAAATAAATCTAAATTAGATGCAAAGATTTATTAAGTTCAAAAGTATGCTCATTTCTAAAAAAAGTTTTCATTTATTAGAGAAATAAGAGTACAATATATTTGATATAACTTCAGCTGTGACTTAATATTAATAGGTCTAATTTGCTGGGACAACACAAATAACTTGCAGAGTTAACCTTTCCAAAGTTTGAGACCCTATTCCGATTATACAAATAAATAAACATGCCTATTTTGATTGCCAAATTGGTTTTTCTTTCAGTAGTGATGCTATTCAGACCACAAATAAATGATAGTAGATGATCATGTAGACTAGCATGTTCCCCTTGAGGAACAGGTGTTTCCACCTAAAAATAATAAGGCAACCAATGGTAATATGCTATGGCACTCTTCTACCTCTGGCGAAATAAGTTGGCTATTTAGGGGAATGTAAAGACTGAAAATAATTCTCATGGATCTTACAAAAGTACAGCCTTTGAGAAAAGCCAGGGCAGAATTTTCTCAAGTGATTGCCCTGCTTTGTTTTCAGCATTTTGATTCCCAAGAGCTACTCTTAAAACAGGAACAAAACAATAGGGCTCCATTGCATAGCTGAGTTTCCATACACTGATAAGAAAGCAGAACTACTTAGAACAAGCTGAAATGTCTGGTATGAAGATTTTTACAGAGCTTTCTTTTTTTCCTTCTTACAGGCAACTTCAGGATCACTGGAGAACAACTAAGGAGCGAGCACCCGCCATTTGCTGTTCAGTCATACACTTTACAAAGCCAATACTTAGATCTCCTGTAAGGCAGATGCTAATTATAAGGCATTAAGGAAGCAAATAGTTCCCTAAGCAACTACAGAAGAAAAATCTCACTAAAGAAAAAAAAAAAAGGCTTGTGATTTTAAAGGCCAAATCAAGTGCTCTCCTGGTCTTATTCTCTAAATCAGGAGTGGGAACCTTTTTTCTGCCAAGGGCCATTTGGATATTTATAATATCATTCTCTGGCCATACAAATATCAACTTAAAAGTTAGATTGCTATATTTTGGTCAAACATTTAATTAATTCACCTCTAATGCCTTAGCATTAGACCAAATGATTTTGCGGGCCTTATACAACCCGCTGACCAATATTTCCCACCCCTGTTCTAAACCTATTGGAACCATACTGGGAATGTCAGTGAAGGGTTTTATAGCTTTTGGGAACACTTTGGTCTCTGAACTATAATTAGCAACATATAAAAACTACAGACATCAAATGCCTGCCTTGTGACTTGGATAACTAAATGTAGATGTCTTTAGTATACTTTGTATGTTCTTAATATTTGAAGAGAATTTTTGGAATCTGTGGATTTTATTTTTTCAATCATATTTTACAAATTCCTGTTCTATAAACAATAGGGTTTTGTAGATAGAGAAACTTAAAGTACTTTGACATTTGGTAATGAAATGAAGGGCAAAGGATTTAGAAAAGTAGATGTATCCAAACCCACAACAAACCAAAAACATAAACTCATGTCTGGTGTGTCCAGTGGTCATAGTCAAAGACTTTGTACTAGTCTCAAATTCTAATAAAACTGGATTTGAACACATTTTAAAGTTGTCTTCTGTTTAATTTCATAAAACTCATTGTTTCTTAGATTTGGGTAAACTACCAAAATCAGTGCAAAGTATGATTTTATGATGTAAGACTATAAGAGAACCCACAAAATGCATTAAAAAATAGCTTACCTTGCCCTAGTCTGTTTGGCTTACTGATTAGAGCGCTGGCCCTCAAACTGAAGGGTTTCAAGTTCAATTCCTGGTCAAGGGCATGAACTTTGGTTGCAGGCTGGATCCCCGGCCTGGTTAGTGTGCATGCAGGAGGCAACCAATGGACGTGTCTCTCTCACAGTGATGTTTGTCGCTCTGTCTCTCCCCTGGGTGATGATAACAACAACAAAAAAGTAGCTTACATGTTCACTAATTGGCTAGAGATACTAACCTGAGGGGCTAAATGTAGACATAACCAAAATTTTGCCTAAAAATTGTGTGCGGGGGTCTATAAAGGCATACCTCATTTTATTGTACTTTGCTTTATTGCACTTCACAGATGTTGCATCTTTTACAAATTGAATGCAAGACCCTCCACCAGCAAAAAGATTACTAGTACAACTCTCTTTATATCGGTAGTCTGGAACCAAACCTGTAATAAGTTATGCTTGTCTGATTAAATGTGAATAGTTTTCCAACATGTAAACACGGGATTTCATAGCAGAAGAAGATGTGGATTTCTGCTTCTTGAAAATTTGAAGTATCTCAGAATCCTGGACCTGCACTGCATTTTCATTGCCATCAGTCAGCTAGGCTAGGGTCTGTCCCTTAAGTGGGGCCACTCCTCCAATCTGCAGCAGCATCCAACTTGCCTATTTCCCTTATGTGTGTTACCAGCAAAGCCCACATATGCATTTGAGTTTGCTACCCCTGCTTTAGGCAATTTTCTTAGGACTATCTGTCATAATCTTAGAATTTCTATTATCTCTAGAAAATAAAGTCCTTTGAAGATAGTTCTACACAGGTCATTGGTTGCAGTTATACCATCTCGGAATTATCTACCTCTTTACATCTTTTTTTGTTAGTAAAATGAACCTCCTTATAAATTAGGCACTGTAATGGTTTTCTACTGCTGTTGCAACATCATCACAAACTTAGTGGTTTAAAGCAATACAAATTTTTATTTTCCTACAGTTCTATAGCTCAGAAGTCAAGCAACTTTACTGCACTAAAATCAAGACAGCAGGGCTGTTTCTTTCTGTAAGTTCTCGGTAGATAGGATCTGTTTTACTGGATTTTCCTTCTAGATACTGCTGTGGCTTGGTATCCCTTTCCTCCATCTTCAAAGCCAGCAAAGGCAGCCTTAATTCTTCTATCTCTTAGCACTCTGACCTACTTCTCTTGTACTTTGAAGGACTCAAGTGATTAGTGACGTCTCCATCTCTAGGTTATAACCTTAGGGCTAAATCTATCTATAGACTCTCTTTTGCCATGTAGTCATAGGTTCTGGGGATTAGGATGAGGACCTCTGTGAGGTCATTCTGCCTGCCACAGTTTGCCCACTTGCTCGAAATAAGCCATGTCTATCCCACATGCAAAGTAGGTTCACCCCATCCCAAGATCCCCAAAGTCTCATCCCATCACAATGTCAACTGAAATTCCAAAAATCTTATCTAAATTATATTTCATCATTTAAATTCAGTATGGGTAAGGCTTTATTATAATCCATCCTGAACACAATTATTCCCAATATTTATGCCTGTTCAACATAATTTAAAAACCTGCCCAAAGTTATCCAGCCAAGAAATTATAGAGCTAGAATTTGATTCCAAGCCACTTTCCTTTAAAACTCATTCTCTTTATACTCAAGCCTTTCAGGGTAAGAGAAACCTAGGCCACTTCCAATTTTTGTTTTCTATTTTTAAACAACGATGTTATGGTATATGTATATGTTTTGTATGTGTGGTATATTTAAATGTTTAATATCTTGCACTTTTAACACGAATGTGGTCATACCCTATGTGTGACAAGTAATGGCCAAATCTGATTTGAGGATCCTTGTGCCTGTGAGGCTCAACCTAAATGGCTGTCCTGGCCATCCTGCCCATCTCGACCTCACAACCGGCCCTGTTCTCTGCTGCCCATGACAATGTTCACAGAGAAGCAGGCATCCTTCTCCTCAAGGAGCTCAGCACACGCTTGGGTTGATGAAATGTATGCACACAAGGCAAGGCAGTAGAGCCATCAAGGGCTCAAAGGGAGGATGTAGGAGGGAGAAGGAGCATTGAGGGCTGGAATCATGCTTGTTGCTAAAGGTGAATGGATGTAAAAGAAGAGGATAAGGAGCTGAGTCTAGAAGAGGAGGAATGAGCCCTGTGTGAGGAAACAGTGAAGGGTGGTGGTGAGCCCTGAGCACTCAGGACCTCCCATCTTACCTACAGCTCAAGCTTCAGCACTTCTGTTCCCTCTGCCTGGCATGCCCTCCTTCAAGCTCTTTCCATGGCTGGTTCTTCTTGCCCTTTCAATGTCAGCTCAGATGCTATCTCCCCAGAAAGGGATGCCCCAACCACTCTACCTGAACATAAAATCTCCAGGCTATCTTCATCCAATTTCACTGGCACACTTACGGTTATCTGAAAACTGTCATTTCTTTTTTCACATTCTACCAGTAGGATGCAAGCCCCATGGGGGTAGAAGCAGTGTTTCATTTACTGCTATATCCTGAGCACTGAGACCATGTTTGACACAAAGGGGCTATTCAATGGATATTTATGAAATGAACGGAAAAACCCTCAATATCCTTACATAAGAGTTGTATTAACAAACCCTTGATGCTATGTTGTCTTCTACATACTACCAAAGTGTGTGCCATGTTATTTTTTTTAAGTATAGAAGTCTATACATAAGTTTTCAGTCACAGACTTATTTCTCCTGTGGACTATGTCAGAAGCTTATCGTTTGGTATGGGCTCATTAATCATATACTTAGACAAACTAATTGATGATTTGGGCTTTTTTTCTTTTCATAGGAAGATGCAGCATTAATTACCCCATTTAGCAATGGTGTTTAGCCTTTTTTTCTCTGACTAACAATCTCCGAATGCTAAAGAACTTCTCTTCAGAAAGACTAGCATACAACAAATGTGCATACAATTTCAGAAGAGATTTCTGGATCTTCTGAAACCCATTAGGGGCCCCGTTTAAAGAACCCTGTCATATGTGAGTCAAGATGTATGGGAAGTAGCTGGTGGCTATTTCACTTCATTTTCTGAAATAGGAGGGCATTAACAAGCTGGGCAACTAGTTAATCTTTTAAATGTTACAACAGGGTTTCTAGGAAACACCAGAGACCATTGCTACTTTGTCCAAGGCACATCCACACATTGCACAAGATCTGTTTTCTGTCTTTCTAAAAACATTTCAGGAAAAAAAATGTTTCATAATATTATTTATCCACTTAGTAGATGCCTTTTTAAAAAAGTGTATGTGGAATAGTGACATAAACCAGATACAGAGGACAAATATTGTATGATTCCACTTATACGAGGTACCTAGAATAGTCCAATTCATAGAGACAGAAAGTAGACTAGTGATCACTGGGGTGGCGGGGAGTTTTTGCTTAATGGCTGCAGAGTTTCTTTTGGAGATGATTAAAATAATTTGGGTATAGATCGTTGTAATGGGTCCACCGCATTGTGAATGTATTTGATACACCAGATTGTACATTTATGAATGGTTAAAATGATAAATATGTTATATATATATTTTCCCACCATAAAAAGGTTATTTCCTTAAAAAAGGTACAGGTGGGAGAAAGTGTACATATGATGTGTGGGTGTCTTGTGCTGGAATAGGAAAGACCTATCATAGAAAATGGAATAGGTAAGAAGGCATATGGTGAAAAGTTTCCTCTCCTCGGACTCTCAGTTTCCCTCTCTAGAGGAAACCTGTATTACCAGTTTCCTGTGTTTCCTCATGTATCTTTCCCAGTGTTTATACAAAGTGTAGCATCCTAAACTCCATGCTTATAAGGAGACCTTTCCGTATCAGAACACAAACAGTTTTTGCATTCTTTTGTACTGCTGGCTGTGTGGTATGAACGTTCGGTTCACCAGTCCTCTACTGATGGACTTTGATGTGATTTCCAACCTTTTCCAATTGCAAACAATTCTGCAATGAATAACCACATACATAATGTCATTTCACAAATGTCAGTTGATCATTTCTTTATTATGAAACCACCAAGATAACTAAGCCCCAGGAAATGAGGTAATGGGAGAAGGTCATGGCAAGCCATCCTGGCTGAAGAGTAACCCTTTTGTGCAGAATCCATCACCCGATGTCATCTCTATTTAAATTCAACCATTTCCACTCTGCTCATTACTTAATGAAGCGTGTTTGTGTGAGCCCTGCAAGGCTGCCAGAAGCTTCATACTCACAGAGATTAGTTATTACTTGCAAGAAAGCCCAGGGAAAGGCCATGTGTTTGTGACAAAACTAAGGATGCAGTCACGGTTACTTTACAGTCCTGCCCGTGCTCAGCAGGAAAGGTGTGCATTCCTGTTTTTGTTTTCATCGCTGAGCTTTTTGGGTGGTTGAGGATGTGGTAGACAGCTTCACGTGCTATTGGAAAACATGCCTCAGAGGTTGCTTAATGAGGGGCATTTGTTTATTTTTTTAATAATTCACACAGAGACAATAAAGAAGCTGTGAGACACAGAGATCTACTGAATATGGTTCTGAGCACTGATTTAAACCTGTATCAGTCTGAGAGATATCCATATATAAGCTCAAGGAAATGGTCATCTACTTAAAATACTTATATCTATATGCTATAGCGCTATGTATAATGTTTACCTAAAAGCACAACCAGAAAAATTCCTTGCACATGACAGGTAGAAGTATTATAGAACTAGGAAATAATCTAATGAAACTGAAGATTGATTAGCCTTCAATGCCAAGATCCCTCCTAGGCATATCATAGCAAGAAGAATTGTCATTACAAAAATAGATCACTGTGATGTACCTTTCAGCGAAAGCTGTAGGATAATCATGAGTTT